ACAAGAAAGTCCCATAGGATTTACTAGGCTAACATATTTGCATGATAGGGTTTTCAAAAGTTATCTAACTTTGGGCATCTAGGAAGTCATGTCACTAACTTGAGTGATGGGTAAATAAGAAATCAAAACTCAAATACTTACAGTTTTTTTTAATTTTCTCAAGGATATTTTTCTCATATGAAGTTCCCTTACTTTACTTTAATCTAGCCCCTATTTGAAAATATATATTCTTGGTAACAGTTTTTCAATTTGGCTTTACTTGCTGGAATTAAGCTTAATAGTTGATAAACTACTTTGGAAAGGTATTCTTTTTTACTAAAGTGAACCTATGATAGAGGGTAAACATATCTCACAAGTGTGTTGCTAAAATGATGTATTAATTGGAAGAAGGAATCATTGGCACAAGAGGGCATTCTTTTAGATTTGCAACTATAAAGAGTAAAAGGGTGTAGTTGATGGGACAAGTGTTCCTTCTTAGAGAGGAATGAAACAAATATTCAGTAACAAATAATGACTTCCTAATGCACTATGTGCTCATCACATTTTATCCTATAACAACAGGTGTTTTATATAAGTTCAAGTACCAACTTAGCTAGCACTTTTTGAAGTCAAAGGAATCCCTCCCTATTCTAATAGCATTTAAAAAAACAGAATGACAAATGATAGCTGTAGCAATGAAACTCACAACTTCATGGACAATTCAAAAATATGGTATAGGGGATTGTCTTGATATATAAAACTTAGTCAACACAGTTTCCCATGATAAATTATTTCAATAGCTACGACAAATTAACACACCATTAGTTGTCATTGAATAAATATATGTCATTATTCTTGCAGACTATCAAGGAGTTAAATAGATTGAATGCACTATTTGCATTAAATAAGGATGTCCACTGTGTTTAGCTTACACATGAATGCCCTTGAGAGTTTAATGTGGCATTAAAACTTTTTGGAGATCCATATAACTAACCACTTCATTCTCACAATAAAATCTGTGGAAGGTAGTCTGCATTGTAGTTAGATCTATTAGGGTCAAAATTTTCTGTGAACCTGTCATTCCTTGTGATCATCAAGGTATGCAGCACATAGCAAGACATGATGTTGTTCACAAGGATGCCTAGATGTCCTCTAAATCCCTTCTAACCAAGCAATTTCCATTGCCTCTTTAAAATTCCAAAAGATTGCTTGACAACAATCCTCATAGAAGAATGAAGAAAGTTGTATTGCTCTTTGCCATGAAACTTGTTTGGATATAAAACCAAAACCAATAAAGCACACTCTTATCCTATGTCAGCAATGATATACAATGGAATGTCCCCAAACACTGTGTGGTACATTGGACCACATAAACACTTCTTCTCTATCTATGCCTTCTTCAAACCACTAGAATTCTGAACTTTATCTGGAGCACTACCTACTATCCCTATTGTTATGTAAGGGAATGAAGTCTTACTGTCTACCACAACTTGAACTACCATTGAGTAGTACTTTTTTGCCCTAGCATACCAATCTATTGCATCCTCTGAACCTAGGAGCTTGATTGCCATATGAGTGCAATCCATTGCACCACAACAATTTGGGAATCCATGCAATCTCTAAAATCATGTTATAACTTCATTTATTCCCTCCTCATCTGCCAATGGATCATTAGTCCTTCATGCTCAAGCAATGAATACCTGAATCAACATAAACAAGCTTGAGTGCATAAAGCCACTCTAAATGCATCACCAATTATTTGTCATATATCCCCGAATGCCAAGCGTTTCAAAGCAATAGCTACTTGCTTTGAAATAGCTAAGTGCTACTTTGGTATTTCTACCAAATCTAGAGGAGGCCTCCTAGCCAATTTTGGAGCAAGCTCGTCACAAAGAAAAGTGAATGTAGATATTAAAAAACTTCTCTAAATCTTTGTGGATTTATATGGAGAACCTAAAGCTCTGTTTGATACCACTAGTGGAGACTTCTTGGCTTGATGTAATCCACACTAATCAATGCCTTAGGAGCTCCTTTTTAGTTATCACTCTTTCAATAAATGAAGTTGCAGTAGGACATGGCATAGAAAGCACTATAACAATCGCTTCCTCCACCATTCGAATGAACAAAAGCTTTCTTGAAACTGGAATTAAGATCATGTCCTCCTCCAGAAAGAACAACTCTACCAAATTTAAGTACCTCATCACAATCTCTACAACATGGGAAATGATTGCCAAGGAAGAATTGCCAAGCTATGGCATGCTATGCACTCAATTTAGGGTAAAAAAAAATGGCACCCTAATCCATTATGATGTGGAAAAAAAGAAGCTAATGTGTAGCCTTATGTGGCATATAAAAAAGAGGGTTACATGTAATGTAACCATTAAAAAAAAAGGAGGGGAAAGTTGTGGGGTGAGGAGAAATTTCCAGGTGGGTGGAGCATGGAACCCCACCCTAAGGGAACTACTCCTTATTCACATGGGCATAAATTAAAAATGCCTTGAGATGGAAAATGCTTAGTAGTCTATTGCTCAACCCCAATGAGCTTATAGAAGGTGATCTAGAATGCCCAAATAATATACCAAATTCGAGGCCTATGATTAAGCCACCTCTTCATGTGTTGAATAATTCTTTTAAGCTTTGAGTCCAGGTTGTATTATTCTATTCCAGTAAACCATTTAAGAAATAGTGTTTGGTTGCAATCACTAAGTAAAAACTAAATAAACCAAGTGCTTGTTATATATTGAACTTAAGCAAGTTTTAATAAATTGTTCTCTTTTTAGAATTAACATCTAACTATCCCAGCGGAGCTGGGTTCCCTGCTAGTTCTTATTATATGCAAATCTAGATTGGAATATAGGGTCCTTGCTCTTTTAAATATATACTAACAGGGAACCCAGCTCCACTGGGATAGTTAGATGCTAATCCTAAAAAAAGAACAATTTATTAAAAACTCACTTAAGCTCTTCAATATGTAACAATCATTTGGTTTGTTTATTTTTTGCTTCCTTTGTGATTGCAACTAAACACTATTTTTTAAACGGTTTACTAGAATAGAATACAAGCTTGGAATCAAAGCTTAAAAGGATTATTCAACACATGATGAGGTGGCTTAATCATATTCCTCAATTTGGTATATTATTTGGGCATTTCGGAGGTAAGAGCAGTTAATGGGATGGCATGTTAATGGGATTTTTGGTAGTGAATGGCTAGTTTTGCATCTGCAAGCGATGTGTGTCGAAGTATAAATGACTGTATTTACTGGTGGACTATGTGTTTGTACATCATAACATGCTGAATTCTGATACTATTGATGCATTTGTCCTTTATTGTCCACTTGAGAATTATGTGCTATTGTTCACGGGGAGTAGTAGAAAAATCTTTGTGCACTTCTAACTTTGTATTAAATTTCTTTTTTCCTCATAGATTTTGAAAATGTGAGAAGCTCAAAATCAAATCCCTTTGCAAATTCTGGAAGAGCTCTCTAACATTTTTTTTTTGCTATCATTTCTATTTCTATCTTGCTACAGATAACCATCAAATAGAGCTGATGTTTGCTAGGAGGTGTGCTTTAATTTTTTTTTTAGCAAGTTCCATGTAACTACAAAACAAAACACAGATAAATATATCAACAACATGTAAAATATTAGAATGGAATCTGCATACCTTAGGTGTCAAGTCTGAGTATATAGAACCTGAGCTTCTCCATGTCTTGGTATTTTTCAAGCTTGCTCCGGATTTTGAAATTGTAAATCTTCGAGTGGATACCATCGATATGTAGTGAGAATGCAGGATAGGTCTCATCTTGTATTGTAGCTAGTTCCTTTGCTGGCATTCCCACTATTTCCAGTGCAGCCTCTTGAAATACAATGGCCCACACACGACTGCCGCTATCCTTGATGCACATCTTTAGAGCATACTTGAACTCCACATTGGCAGCCTTAATATTGCAATAACTACAGAACTAGCCATCTACTGTTTGGGTAGTTTTTTTGCCACATTGCTGTGCATTTACGACATTGATGCATGCACTATAATAAAACTCATCCATCTTCATTTCCTTCACAGTAGCTATCATTCTATAAATAAGAAGCTTTCTAACACCTTTAGCTGCATGTTTGATATCTCTGATAAAGTAGTGGTGGAGCTCACAATCTGTCTTGATGATGAAGTGCTCAAATGTATGAAGTTAGTGACATTGTAGTACAATGTCATCCATTCTCTCAAATCAGCCACTGCTTCCGTTTCCGGTTCAATAAGAATGGTGCTCACACCAATTACTGAAAGTGATTTACCACTGTAGTCTGGTACCTTTCCGCCCTTGACACATATTATTGGCTGAACTCCACTCTCTATCTGCTCCTGTATATATGAGCCCCTCTTCTTCTTCTTTTAAATCCCACAGACATAGATCAACACTATGGCCCAAATCATCACCTAGACACAATGTTCTCTTCACAAAAGATCCACTCTCATGAGATGTTACAGTAATTGTACGGATCCATATTACAATACCAACCACATTGACAAAAGAGTCCCTTTCCTTCTGACACACATCTAAGATGCTTGTTTTTGCCAGGATGATTCTTGGGAATGTTGCATCCTCATCCAGGGCTGTAAACTCCATACCTTTCTTAGCCTGAATCTCCCATGTTGCTTCAAATGGAGTGTATGCCTGATTGGAATGTTGTATTCCACCACTACCAGAAAATGAATACACTGTACCCTGTACAATCTTATCTGACAAAGCCAAGGCACAATTGTTGGAACCAATAATTCTGATCTCTGTTCCCTGGATGTAGACAATGTCGAATGACATTATGCATCCAGATATTTTCGTGTTGAAATGTATCAGCTTGTTCTTGTGTGTGACTCTTGCATGGAAGGACCACCTGTAAGAGTGGTCACTGATTTCTTTGATATACACCTCTTTTATGGCAGCCTTTTTTGAGGTCTCTTCCTCTATCAAAGGGAACAATCTGAATAAACTGGTTTAGACTTGAAAATACCTTTTCCATGGACTCCTGAGCTCGTTTTTGTCATTGGAAAGTTCAATTGTAGCAGTTTTTTAGAATAAAAACCAAGAAACGAATTTACCACTTTCATATCTTGAAGGATAGGGTTTGTGTGTGTGTGCTTCCATACTCCACCATCCAGGAAGCATGCATCCGAAACAATCAATGACTTACAGAATATTTTGGTGTTTAAAATTCTTTATCAAAAGGAAAATACACTTACTGTTTCTCATTTGTCTCAAGGAAAGTGTAGTCCAGGAATTTTACAAACGAATTCAGATGGGCACAATATGAATCTATTAAACTTGAAACTCAGTGTGATGCAATTGCCTCGAGTATTTCTCTGTCATCTGTGCCAGAGAACTTCTTGGTCAGAGCGCCAGGCTTTGAATCTATATTTGTCACACGCAACACTAGTTCCTCTTTCAATTTTTCTTTGACCTTTCTGATCTCATCATCCATGCATCAATTTTTCTTTGACCATTCTGACCTCCTACTGAGTTGCTGTTAGGCACCAGCTTTGACCACATGGTCAATGTCAATCAAAGGGAAGCTCAAGGGTACATTAAGGCATGTTAGGGAAGGAACTTAACCTACCTTAGGGCTCATAGTGGAGCGACAATACAGTGGAGCTTTTGAGGTAGCTCAGGGGTGGTTGGGTGGTGAGGAACCTCAAAAGGAGGCATAACATACTCTAAGAAGACTAGATCTTTGTTTTTTTTACCCTGGATCATAACATTGGTATCAGAGGAGTTGGTTATGATGACTGACCAATTTGAATGCTAGAATTTTATTGTCAATGGTGGTGCTGATAATGGTGCCAATGGAGCTACAGAGGTTTGGACCATTCAAAATGTTGTTTATGAGCTGTGAGCCCTTAATCGAAATCAGCAAGAGATGCAAAACAAGATACATGGCATGATGGATACCATACATGAGTGTGTTGAGGCACTCGAAAGTGGATGTGGTGGTGCTCCAAGGTAGGTTTTGAGCTCATGAGCTCACGACTTCTTAAACACAAGGAAAACATTGGTTCATCTTGAACCAACATCTTTTCATTTTTCAAATTTTGATTTAATCTATATTTCCAAGTAAATTTGACTAATAAAATACAAATATAATTATAGATTCAAACACTAAAAACAATCTAGAAACACTTCTCAAGCTCTGCAATTGTAAGGCTTGCCTGATGGATGTGATGGTCGACTTTAGGATCTTGGTTTAGTTCCTACATAAAAATGTAATAGCTGTGCTTGCAGGCTAAATATACCTTTCCCCCACCTCTCTTTCCTTATCTAGACATTTGCTGGGCTTCACATAAAAAATAGCTTTAGAGTTTTTGGTGAGGCCAGTTTGGCAAAGAAAAGAAAGAAACCTAGTACACAATTCCAATAGCCCTGGATCCTTAAGGAAGTTTTGCCTGGATGGAGGACTTGCACCTTCTATGGAGCACAATCAGTCTGTGCCATACTGCCAAAAGTATCAGGCTTCTTACTGTAGAAAATATTTTTGACAGTTAGAGAAAAGCATGAATGACAACAGCATGACCATGTTCTTCCCCATTGAGAACATGACCACATGGCAAGTGCTCAACCTCAAGCACGAACCTGCCATTTGAAACAGGTTCTTTAGCCCAGCATTCATGCTCCTAGCTGCATTCCTAGCTTTCTTACTGCTTAGATTCCTGGTATCTAATGATACCATGCAGATTTAGCCATGAGGTTCTGGTTTTTATCCTCTCAATGCTTCCACAGTTGAGTTCCTTTGCAAAGCCCTACTTTCACATCATTCTTTTCTTTGGGGAAGAAGTATGTGGTCATGGAAGCTCCCAGGATCAAAGAGTATCTCAGGGTTGAGTAATGGTAGGAAGTTCTAAACAAGTTTTACTGCTCATTCAATCTGGAAGCCTGCTACTCAGCGGGAGAAGCATTGGAAACCTAGGAGGCATTATCCAATCCTAGAGAGGTCTCTGTTGGAACCAGCAACGCTGCAGGTTGGGTCCAGAAAAATGCCATCGAGAGGAGCAGTGAGGACATATCCAAGTTATAGCCACCAAAAACAAGGTGACAGAAGGTGAGGCTTTGGAGATGATGTGACCCGGCAATGAACAATGAGTCAGCAAGGGAAGTTGTGTGACAAGTCACACCTCTGGAGTTACTCCAACTCAATCCCAAAGTGGCTCTTTGTGCCATATGAATGAATGAATCACCTAGAGAAAGTATTGGTCCTGTTCTGTTATGAGTTGGGTCCTCAAAAAAAGGCCTCCAAGACTGTCAAGCTGTTTCTCACCATGGAATCCAATGAAACTTTCAAAAATAATGGCTAAGAGAAATAAGCTCTATTTCGTTAAAGTGGGAATTGTCATTATCCCACTTGTAAAATAAGGTTTCCAAACCTTTATATAGTATATAAATATAACAAAATTCAACTGCATTGAGGCACATGCCATTTTATTTTAAACAAGGAAATGTCTACTCAATCACTTCTCAAACGTTCTTTCCAACTGTTGTCACTGGC